AGAGAGAGAGAGAGAGAGAGAGAGAGAGAGAGAGAGAGAGAGAGAGAGCTAAAGAACAAAGTGAGATCAGTGTCCTGAGCATATGCCCACAGCAACCCACGTGATCACAAGCTTCCCTTCTTCTACGTGAAGAATCATCTCTCTCTCTCTCTCTCTGTTGGCTTCACTTCCCAAAGAGCACAGTACCAAAACACTCTGTTTCCCTTCGAAAAGTTTAGTTGCTTTCTTCAGCTCTGTTCCATTTTCCGATGGGTTTGTTTGTTTACGCTTCCAATCTTAGCTTATGTCATCCTTCCATTCTTATTATTATTATTATTATTAGGATTAGGGTTTTCCCTGGCCTGGCTATATATTATATCCCCTTTGTATCATTTTGAATCCAATTATGTCGAACCCTTCAAAACACCAAAAATATAAGGATCGAAATAATGCATTATTTCGGGGTCAAAACGAAAATGATCAAGTAACAGAAAGAGTCTGATTCTGAATCGTGGGATAAGGGCCTACGGGGGGAGGTTTGAGAGTAAAAAAACTGTTTGGGGTCAAAACAAAAAATGACTGAAATTGGAGGGGTTCTATCGAATGTCCCCCGAACTAATATAATACAAAGGAAGATGAGATCCGACATTTGTCCCAAAGAAACAGACTGTTGGTTTGGTATCAACACTCTGCTGCCTACAAAGCAATATTTCGTGTTATTGATATTATCCCCATTTTCTAATACTTACACCTATATTTTTAGCCACAAAAAATGGGTTTCCTCTTATTTTCCATTAAAATTATATATATATGCATATTAATTCATTCGTTTTGGACTATTTTATACACGCTAATCTCTTAACCCAACTATACAAAATGACAAGTACTTGCAGCTATATCTAACTCTAAAGGTTAAAAGGGAGATGAGCTAGTTGAATTAATTAGATATATATTTCTGTAACCTACTATATATATATATATATATATATAACATTTAAAATAATTACCAAAAAATTCTAAGCGAACACGACATGACCTAAGGTATTATTGGTTCCATCAGGTTATACAGCCAATTTAATATTTATATTTTCCATAAGCTTTGTTAATTTAGAGAGATCATGTTGTTTCTTGGACAACGTGGCATTGTTTGCCCTTTGATTAATGCAATACGCCATTACTATATTCATCACCGAATACACGGGCAGTTTTATCAGATTCCTGTCCAGCGTAAATTTAAGAATATTAGTTTATAACCGATGTACGAACTCATTTAAATTATTTGTAACCAAATAATTGTCCTTTAGCGTTACTAGGGCTACGGTCAGCTTACCACTTCGGGGACATATATTACCATGCCACGTTGGAGGTTTTGTCTTGTCGTTTGTATTTAGTTGCACACATTTCAATAGCTTTCATATATATATATATATATATACATATATATATATATATATATATACCTTCCTCGGATTATAAAATTCATTTGATGTACTCAAAACAATGTTTTTATAACGTGAAAGTTTCTAAATCCTAAGGTTCCATTAGGCGCATCTTTCTTAAAGTAATGCTTACATTTTGATGATAATTTATTTGGAAATGTAAATCATTCTCCTAAGACATATATTCCAATCTGGAATGACGGAGACATTTTGTTTCCTTATTTAACTGTTATCCTATTTCGGTGGAAATATCATATAAATTGAATGTTTGGAATTATATCATTTTTTTAATTAAATTTTTGGGTGATGATATTTGAAGTTTTATAAATGATGTGTGATTAATCTCTTGCTATGTTTAGAACCTATGTACGGTTCAAACTATGATAGTATCCTCATATATATATATATATATATATATATATATATTCTTGATACATGCCGAAATCATTTGAGAAAAAAGACCCAATTATTCACGGTTACGTAGGTGGTGATGGAGAAGTTGTTGCAAATTAATTTATTATTTTTACCAAAAATATTATGTAGATCATGAAAATAAGCACTCCTACAAATATTTAAATATTAATTTAAAATATAATGTAACAATAAAGATATCATCATTTCAAATGTTGATATATAATAATGTCCAGTCGATCAGAAGAATTTTTTAACAAACAAACAAGCCCGTCTTGTTTTTCTTCTGTAGAATTTAACAATTATCAATTGTGATAATGTTATATATATACATATATGTATATATATATTAAGGTTATGTTTAGTATTTTAAAAAGAAAAATGGAAACTAAATTATTTTTCATTAGTTCTAAAATTGGTTAGAGTCGAGGACCTTAAAAGTAGGAACGCACTTTTTTTTTTATTAAATTTGTTTCAAAAATTTGTTTATTTATTGCAATATGAAAGTTATATATTATCATTTCATTGTGATACGATAACTGTTAGCTTAAAAGTTTATAAAAAATATTAGACTTCAATAATTTTAAATAAAAATAAAATATTTCCATTATAGGATCCTAAAAATTACCATATCGATCGTGCACAAGATTTCAAAATTATTTGTGACTAGACTCCCATTTATATATTCATGTTCATGTATGATTGGGCGTGTTTGCGTATAAAACTCTTAGGCGCACGATTTGCAGTTGTAATTAAGAGAACATCTTCGAAAACGGGAATTTTTCGGTGAATTAATTAACAAAAAATTTACAACTAAGCAACCTAATAAGAACAACCTAATCTACGCTTTAATATTAAATCCTCATCTTAGTTTATGGGAATCAGCATGTGATTAACCGTAAAGCACGCTGCCTGAAATTCTAACATGAGATTGTACTTGTCCGGATCATCTTCTCATAAGATTCTCATAACTATGATCTCTCTCTCTCTCTCTATATATATATGTATAATAATTATGTCAAACAAAATAATCAAATAAATAAATTAACAGAGAAAAAGAAAATACATAGAATCGTTGGCCTAAGATCTAATTTGGCGTGCCCACGAGGATCATGTCTAGTAAACTTAAATGTATATTTGTTTGACCAAATTTTAGTTGGTCGAAATCGTGCATGCATTTAATATTGGTAATCAAATTTATGACTTGAGCAAGCTAGTATAATTAAACATCAGTAGGATAATTATTACATAAACACACTGAATGAATGATATGTCATTTGGAACACGGTTGTAATATTTAAGAAAAAAAGGGGAAAATGTAATTTATTATTAAAAAAGATGTAATTGACTTTTCCCGAGAAAACAGGGGATTTTGGGGGGCCTAAAATTCTGGGAAAATTTTGTAAGGATGTCGTTGTTGTGACTCGGCGACTTCAAGATTCTCTTCCAACCATTGCGTTACTTCCGAAGATATGTCTTTTTTTTCCCCCTCCCTTTTTCCATCTGCCACGTCTGTCCGTACATTTCAATTTATCATCATCATCATCATCATCAAGCCATGATAGACGTAAATAATGTCTGTAAATTTACATTCTATCTCGTATAAGAAGGAACAGACGTTTTAAGTTGATATATGATTAACCAATATAATCAAAATATGGTTTCGAAATGGTTTGTGAGGGAATATTTTTCGACCGTCCTCTCTCTCTCCCCCTCTCCGTCATTAGAATAATTTTTTCCATCAAAGAGAGCTGGCTGCATATACAATAATAACAAAAGATTATGGTAAAATAGAAATTCACATGCAATGATACGACGATAGACATTATATATATGATACCTCAGCTGGAAAGCGAGTGAAGGAGCATTTCTCGTCAAAATTTTAATCATTGTATCATATCCCAAACTTTCAACTGTTGTACTGCTATATTCGTAGCCCAGCGGCTCCAAACAATTATAATTATGTTTCAAGTCTCTCTACACATAATTATATGTGCTCTCTGTATACACTGCAGCGGTGCATTATATAACATATATGATGAGACCTTGGAATCTTGACTAGCGCAATGCCGCCTTTTTCTTCTTCCATGGAGCATATTACTCACTACACGCACTTTATATTTCACATACATAAACTCCTACTGCAGAAATGGTTTCTGATTGGACGTTTGAATTCCCATTCGTGACAATGATAAAGCAAGAGCGAATCCGCCTATGATGTATGATGATGCATGATGCGAAAGATAAAAAGGCGCTGTTCTATGGTTGAGTCATAATGGAACAACTTTGAGTAAGCAAAGGAAAGGGGGCGACAGCAAGTTACCAACCATATCACTTCCTACTGCTCGGACAAACCTTGTATGGTTTTCTCTGATTCAAGAACCGCCATGACGGAAGTATAGAACGGACCGGTACAGAGCAGCAACATGGAGGAAACAAACCAGGGCGATGAGCAGATCGTCCAGTAAACCGACTATTCCCAGAATTCCTAACAGAAAACCGACAGATATCATCATCGGCAAGTTTGTAGAGAAACCAAACAGTGAGAGAGGTGGTGAATGAAAACAATGAGTTACCTTCTGGAATGATGTCTACTGGACTGATTATGTAAATGGCACTGAGTATAATCTGCACCCAATGCAAAAAGAATTAGCCTCGGTCGCTGTTGATTCGGTTTAGACTTTGGATGTGATTATAAATGGCTAAGTGATGAGTTAAGACAAGTTGTAAGTAAAGATGGTTACTATATGTAACAATGATCAAAATAAGTTATTGAGAATGTTTTGACTTAACTGCAATGTAAATGCGAGCCCTTATGACGAGGGGAAGTGTTCTTTGTGGATCCATCATTTCTCGCAACAGCCTCCGGAGTAGGAATGGAAGGTCTTGCATTCTCTGCATGGCAAAAATAAAACCAATAATTACATATCCGATTTGACCTATGGACGAATATGCAAGCATACGTTTCACATCGAGAATTCTTTGCAGATGAAGAGATGTCAAAGGGGCTTCTTACATCCCAAACATATCCTTCTACATCTATATATTCAAGGCATAATATTGAAATGGAACAAGTTCGGCCGCGGATCGCGAAATCTTAACATCAGATGTTGCAGTGACTCTATGTTTGCTTGATATGAAAACTCATGAGATGCATGGATTCTTTTATGTGTATAACACAAATCAAGTAGAGACATTAGTTTCACGTTTTCACAAGGCAGCTCTTTTACAGGAGCTTCTTTCAAATGGCTGGAAACACAGCTAGGGAATCAAAGTAAGCTATAAAATAATTGAACTGGAGAAGAACTTGATAAGTAATTTGTTGATGAAGGCCATAGTTTAGGCCCATCATTCACTTATAAAGTTGAATTTTGACCAGTAAGAAATAAGATTCCAACAGCCGCTTACAAGAACCTAAGATACAAAAAGAAACTCTCGGAAACCATCCAACATGGATCCATCTAATTTTGGTTGCAACAATAACTGCAAATACATAATTTCTTGTAAAATAACTCGAAAGATACAGAAAGGAAGAATGAGAAATGAGGCAAAGATGCGAGAACTTGTGAAAAAACCTTTCAATTATCATCAGCCAAATCCTAGGCATTTATGCAACAACAGAATACATATGATATGCCATTGGAGCCACCCAAAATCAAATTTTCTTGTCGAGCATAAAAAAACGTACCTGAAAAATACTAGTAGAATGACCACCAAAGAGTCGATTGTATGTTTCAATATCACGAAGAATGTCTGCAACTGCAGAGTTATCACGCCCCCTCAGAGGATTCTCGGTAGGAACGAGCAATGTAATGGGACGGCGACACAACGGGCATTTACATGTCTGTAACGTAGATCCATGACGCCAAACAAGCATAATGCAATTTCCTAGAACAAGTTGGAAAGAGTTATACACATGTGCAAAGAAGTGGGGAGTTATGTGCTGCCAATGGCATTCAACAAAACATCTTGTCAGACTAGCGTATGAGAACATTCAAGAACCATAAAATTCCACACTTGGTGGCCCTACAAACCGAACATGGGTCAAAACTAAACAAAATCAATCAAGCATGTCATCCTAAACACAGGAAGATGAGAAAAAAAAAAAGGTTGGGAGAATCTGTCCTCATGGAATTGGTCTTTAAGCAGGTAGGAACCTCAGGGGCAAAAAATGGAGTACCGAAGCACCAGACGTGAATCTTAAGGATTCAACAAATACAGATAGTCGAAACATTGAAGCATCTGAATTCAGCACTACTAGAAACCTACCCCATTCTTAAGACAAATGTAGACAGATACGAAATAAATCTAATGAATCCACCCAACCAGAAGATTCGGCGGCTTGTAAAAGCAGGATTCGCCGGGACACAGTATCACAGAACCGAACGAGAATCCAACTCAAGAGACGAGGAGGTTTAACAGCAGTTGATGAACATTTCAACCAGACTCTAAAATCTGGAAATGAAGCAAAACAGAAGGCAATCCGCACAATGGAAAATAGTCAAACAAAGCTGGACCCCGAATTTAATTGCAAACACTACAAAACCTCAATCAAACAATCGGATCGAGCTCGTAAATCGAAAATGGTAAGAGAAACAAACACCGAGTCCAAAGAGAGACTGAATAAGGAAGATTCAAGAGAGATCAAATAGAGAATTGATGTAGGAAAACGAAATAGAAAGAGAAGAGGGAAAACACCGCAGAACCAGTGAGAGCAATTGGCCTGGCAAGGAACGTTGAAGTGGCCATGGCATATCGAGCAGTAATCGTTCTCCGGAGGTCTCTCCATTTCCCTTCTTCTTCTTCTTCTCCGATATTTTCCGTCGGAGATGAGGATTTATATCCGCCGACGAATGAAACGCTGAAACTCCATCGGAGACGTCCGGTCCCTTGATCAAACGTCGAAAGAGTGAATCAACGGTCCGGATATTTCTTCTTAATTGATGCGGGACCCACAAGACGATCCCAACGGCGTCGTTTACGTCATCGACGGGGGAGACTCCGAACGGCGTCGTTTAACTCTGAACCGACCTCGATCACATTTATCGACAGAGTAAAACCACAAGGCGTTATGAGAAAAACTAAAGCGAAAGCTCGAAAGAAATTTATCCAACGCAGACATCTCCACTCTCCAAATGGGAAGTTCACAAAATTCAAAGAGGGAAAAGAGAAGCTGAGAATGTGTGATTTTGATTTCAAAGGTTTAAACTTTTACATCGGCAGGTAAAGGAAAAACAGTCAACAAGAACAACCATTGCATCAAATCTTTCTGTGGTGTGTCTTCTTCATCTTTCATCACGTTTCTTCTTCTACTCATGCACAGCCTGCAAATCAATCAACAAGAACAAACTTCAGTAGAGACAGGGTGAAATACCTTATCCAGCTTGCCAAAAACAAACGGGTGTGTACATCCGAGAAGTTCGTTCATGCCCGGAGGGGTCAGGATAATCAAAGAGGAACTACTTATCAGTCCAGGAGATCAGACGACTAATATATGACCGGCCCTTTTATGTTCAAAATCCTTAGTTGACAGTCACACCTCAAAAAGATCCAGAATTTGGACCAAGTGATCTGTCCAGATGGGTCAGCTCACTCTCACAATCGTTTGTCTTATTACAAGTTACAACTGACAGGGAGAAGCAGACACCGGAAAACAATCAAGACAGATATGTTCGAGTAGTCGAGCGTGATATATATTAAGGATGCATTTTGACAACCTTAATCTGTAGGCAGAATCAAATACAGTACCCTCCCTGAGTGTTAATCATTGAAATTGCCTTATCAAATCATAAAAGTTAAAATCTTTCTTACTAGTGTTAACATGAAAAGGTAGGTTTGATTTCAGCATAGGCTATATTCCTAAGCTATCACTGTCTCACTTTACCATTCACCATGCAAAGGATTCATGAAGATCTCCCAGAGAAATATCAGAAAAGACAAATTCATAATACCTGAGGTTCAGAAACTTCTGTAGTATTGGGAGCTGAAAAAGCAGCAGAGGATGAAGAAGATGGAGCATCAAAAGCACGGCCACAATCCGCATACGCAGATCCAATACCCAATCCAGCACCAAACGCTAACGATGCCCATCTCGTCACAGGACTCCCTAAGGCACAACCACCATTGCCCAACGAAGATCAGAATTCGAATTTCAAAATAGCGATTACATATAATCCATATTTCTTCATCAGAACCTAATCATATCACGAGTCTGCTCAACAGAGCCTCCAATAAAAGATTATGATAGAATCGAATGAGAAAGAGTGAAGAAATCGAACTGAAGAAGAGAAGTCCAGCAAAGGCGCCGCCAAGGGAGGAGTAGACGAAACGACGGACGGTGAGATCGAGACAAGCGTCCCACTTGGCGTTGACGTCGTACTTCTGCGGTACAATCTCCTTGTTCTCTGCCATTTTCCCCCAATCGAATTTCTTCCGA